ACTACAACAACAAACAAATGAACTCAAGTTAAATTTTCTTAAAATTTCATTTTGCGGAGTCCATTAAAGACAAATTTATTTTTAAATTGTAAACACATAGTACATCAAATTAAATTAAATGAATTGTTTACCTATTAATAAGATCCATTTATTGCACATAAAAAAAATAATTTTGTGCATCAAAACATAAAAAACTCGAGTTTATTTATCTTGTATTAACTTTCAATTAAGGCATTATTCAATTTTCAGATTTTAACAAAGCTATAAAATTAAAATTAAATTGAGTGCAGTAATGTAGGCACATAAGACGAGATACTGCACTATCACCTACATAGGGTGGATCAGGCAGTTCGTTAAAAACTTTTAAATTAAAAGTTATGCAAGGTTTTTGCGTATCATATGCAGTACGGAAATGTATTCCCAAACAAGCTATTTGTCTGGAATGAACATCTTTTAATAATTGTATGTCCGGATAGGCTTAGCTATGCCGTCGACTATGAAAGTAGTAGGTAATTGCATTAATTATACCTTTATACTATCCTGTCTGGAGAAGTAAAGGGAATTTTCTGTGAATACGTCAACGTAGTAATCGCTCGACATATTCCAGCCGATCAGCGAATCCTGACAGATGAATGTTATGCCATTTGAAACACCAATCCAAGTGTACCAAGGATTGACCAGCTTCTTCACGTTTTCAGAAGGTTAGTAAATATGATCATAACTGTAAATTAATTTCAACATTAATTTTGAGGTCCACAATTGATCTCTTAAATTTAACGAATAATGATTTGTAAAGCTCTCCTTTGTGCTTGAGAGCGAGTTTAAACCTATCAGTTGGTTTGAGTATTCCTATTATTATTGGAGACAATTTTCCATATTGTTAGATGTAACAAAGAAAGTAACACGTGACTTATGATATGCTTTCGTCTTTGTTATCCCAATCAATCTCTTTCTATGATATTCTAAAAGTATAAGTATGGAACTAAGGAAGTATACCTCCACCCTAGGCATATTACTGAAGACTGTGCCATACACATCCCCCCCGGAGCATGTTATCTTGATGAACTTTTTCCATCTTGGTGTTATTGCACCAAGAGAGGTGCTACCAATACCTTTAGTCCGCCGAGACTATAACTGGTGGAATAATTTGACTTGGGGTCGAACCTCTGGGCAGATTTCAGGAATTTGTCTTGTCCCGGTTCTTGAAGAGGTCCCTTCTATATTTCTGGATAAATTTGGTGTTGTTGCCGAGACAACAGAGGAGTGTGTTGTAGTCAAATATACGAGAGCATGTTCAGGGTTTACTCTATTCTTTCATACCAGACTTATCACAGTGTGTTCTTTGTGAGTAAAAACATGTCTTTGGCTTTTTTGATGCATTCATATTTCGGTTCATCACGTTTTCACAAGGTTAGTAAATTTAGTCACGATTTGATCACTTGAAGAACTGGAACTTGAATTCAGCATTTAGTTGAGGTCCACACTTCGATCTCTCTACAACCCTACGAATAATGATGATTGGATTGGGATTAAATTTTAAGATGCCACCATATTTGAAACAGAGTGGTGCTCGCCTTTGTGCTTGAGAGCCACTTTTAAAGAATCTCCCAATGAAGAGTTTAAGTATAGTGGAGACTGTGCCACTATACCAAAGAACAACAACGTTTTCTTTACACTACAAATACCTTTCAAAACCCTTGTTTTATATTCATTAAACCTCCCACACAATTAATAACATAATTGTTTTTTTTTCTCAAAATCTTTTGTTTTTATTTAATATTTTAAATGTGTATAAGTTTAGGCTCACTATCTTTAGTTTTTAGTTTATTTTATTTAAATAATTTTATATATAAAACACACACACAATATATGTAGTTTGGTTTTCTTGTTTGATTTCATGTAAAACTTATAGAAATTAAAAGAGAGTAAATAAATGTTGATAATTAAACTAAGAAAACAAATAAAAAACAAAACAAATATCCTTAACCGCGTTTTTAATGAAAAAAAAAAAAAAAAACTAATATTTATGAAACAAATTTACAAAGAGAAATAAACTAAAGCACAAATTACTGTTTGTTTATTTAAACAAAAAGAAAAAAAAAACAAATTTGTTCTGTAGATTTGTACAAATTTACAAAACTTATTTGTAAACTCTATTAATAAAAATAAACTAATAAAATTATGGTAAATTTTAAGCATTTGCAAAATAATTTTTTAGTTTAAATTTTATAAAGTTGCTGATTTATTTATACAAAAAAAAGCCAATTATTATTTTAAAGAATGTTTTGTTGTTTATTTATAAATATATTTATATTATAAAGTTTTTTTTTTTTTGCACAATTTTTATTTTGTAATTATATTTTTTTATATTTTAATTGAAATAATTGTGTTGTTGTTGTGTTAGCTTTAAGTGAAATTTATGGTAATTTTTGTTTGGTTGCTATAGATTTCACTTTTTTACGCCTTTTTGTTTTTTTTTTTTGGTTATCAATAGATAGAA